GGGGTTAAAAAATTTTTAACTTAGTCCATTTATCCCGTGGAGGTGGTTTCCGCCTTTTTAAACCCATTTCAAATTTCCCAGTACAGTGGCCTTTTTTTCTTGCTTATTCGGTACTTAAAACATCTCCTGGCTTTTTCTTTTTATGTTTCCCAGTTGGGTCATGTCATTTCATGTACATTTCCTTTTCCTCTTTGGGTATCCAACATTCCGCAATCGCATTGAAATTTTTGGTTTTCTTGGTTTCCTTTCCTCAATTTTTGTTTAGGTTTTGGAAGGCGGATTTCCCGGTTCCGAAATTGGACTTTCGGTTTCCCGGCATCCATTGGTCCATGTGGGTATTACTGGACCCTTTTTCTTTTTTTAAACTTTCGGTACACATCAAGAACCGTCTTTATCCTGGATTTATTGGGTGGGATTATTTTTTTTTTTTTGGGAAAAAAAAATTGATATTTTTTCCTTGAACCGGTTTAGCCTTTCGTTTTCCAGGGTTTCCCTTTGGTAAATTTGGTTTTCTTTCCATAGTTCTTTAAAACCCTTGACCCACTCGGGGGGTGGGGTACCCTTCTTTTGGTTAAACCATTTCGCTTCTTAAGTTTTTTTGGGTAGCTTTTCTTTTCCCATCCGGGGGGGGGGGGGGGGGGTTGTACGGACGATGGTAAGCAACGTTTTCGATGGTCATGATTAGCACACGACGACCGAAGACACTGTGATGGCAGATGGACGCGTTATGACTGTAAGGAAGCGGTATTTTCGCTCGAGAAGCAGTCAACCCTTTGAAAGTGTTGGAAGCATCGGACCGACGTCCCTTTTCCACAGAGATTTGTGGCCCGATTACCTCGAGACGATTTAGGCAGCAACGAATCGAATTTACCCACGTCACCCCCTTAGGGCATAGACTGCAGGAATGGCAACACACGACGATAACATCCCCCGCGATCAACCGGTCATTTCGGACGGACGACCCTTCTATCATTTCTCTCATCTTACGGACGCACTTTTCCAGCGCTTCTGGAATCGTCGGAACCCCCTCCCTCATCAATTGGACGACAGACGTAAGCGACAGACCCCCCCCCCCGCCCCCTTTGGCTTCCCGTGTTTGTCGAGATTGCGGATGGCGCGCCCTGGCTCGGACCTGCGAGTGCACGCGGCTTTCCGTCCCCACGTTGAC